GGAGGCTCTAGTCATAAAGTATGTTAAGGAAATGTAGTCAGCCACTGTCATAGGTATTTGTTTGTGGAGAACCTACTGTGTATCAGGCACTGAACTAGTAGCTGAGACTAAAAGATGATTTGATTCTGAGCCCTTGAGAGTACATTCTGAATGTTAAGTCCTGTAACGCGTATATGGATAAAATATACCAGTGTACACAGAGGCAGGGAAAACTCTCTGGGTCTAGGAAACCTGATGAGATTTTTCCAGAGGAAGCTGTATCTAAGAAATTATTCCTGCACAATCCATCTCAGGGTATCTGTCTATTTTAATTTTACATTTTCCAAGAAGATTGCTGCAAACCCACAAATGTGAGATCATTGGCACCCTCCCACCCCAGGGGGTGAACACAGGAGGAGTGGAATGACTCCATTTCCTCCTTTCCTCAGATGACTCCAGTGAGCAGAAAAATGCCTGGCTTTAGCATTCTGGGGCCCAGAAATAAACGTTTCTGGGCTGCAGGCGTCTGCTCTGATGGGAGGGGAGAACAGTGCTCCTTCCTCCTGGCCAAATCAGCCTCTAGGGAAATATGGGCCGACCAAGCCCCCAGATCAGAAGGCGCTGTGGTACCAGGTAACTTATTTGGAGTAAACTTTTAACCTGCAAGTGAGAAAAACAGAGGTGAAGTTGTGGGGGTCCTAGGGAATTGAGGTGACGTATGTGACCCTTTCTTTGCTTCTGTATTGGATCGCTGGGGTCACTTCATTATTAATGTGTCTGAACCTCAGCCCTTTGTATAGAAGCGCCACAGGAATTTAAGTTTCCCTGCATTCCCAATTAACTGGAAGATTAATGAGATCATCAGACAGTGGTAGCGTGGTACAGTAGAAAGAACTTCAGATCGAGAATCAAGACATCTGGGCTCTGCTCCCGGGATTGCCACTGACTAACCTTGCAAACAAGACATTTCACCTTTTTAAGGGGCCGTTTCATCACCTGTAAAATGAGAGTTTTATACTGAGTAGTTTTCAAGGCTCTATTCAGCCTTAGAATTTTATGCATCTATGGTTTTAAAAAAAAAAAAAAGAGCAAGAAGTGTTCTGGTCACAAAGAGTCCCTGAGGGGCCTCAGAGACCTCCCAAAATTTGCCCCTGAGATTCTAAGAGGCAATGAAGCCCAGACATATGTGCACGGTAGGTGGATGCATGGGATGAAAGAGCCAGGCTGGAGGCCGCCATTCACTGGAGAGCCTGATCCTTCTCTGCAGGGACTTCACTGGATGCGGCATTCCAGATGCCCTGGAGCAAGACTGCTTTGGGCAGGATGCAGCCTAATCAATCTAGTGTGTGAGGAGTGGGTGTGAGTCTGATTTGTCGTTCACATAACTAGAAAGTCTTCACGGGAAATAGGGTTATGCATTATGCAGAAATGTGATTAGCATCTTCTCCTGTTCTAAAACAGTTCTCAAAATGATCAGTCCGGATTCTGCTCCAGGCTTTACCTGAAGGAAAAGACTCAGTTTGGGCTGAGATCTCAACCTTCAGATGAGCAGAGCAGAAGGTCTGCCGTCCAAAACTGACCTTTCTAAAGCACCAGTGTGGTTGCAGGTTCTGTTGCAAGCTGCAGAAGAAAAAAAATGTTCTTAATCTAATTCACAAAATAGGCTTATTATCAGCCAACAGGTCAAAGTTTATGGAATTCTTCCTGACCGGGGGGCTCTGGCACCCTCTTCTTCCACCCCACCCCTCTGAATCATCCATTGCTAAGCTCTCCTTCACAGGGGTAGAGGTACATCAGGGAGGGCTACAATCCCCACACCTAACTCCTCAGAGCAATTTAAACAGAAAACAGCACCGGACAGTATCACATAAAGAAGAAATTAGCTCTTCTGAGAAGTTTCCAAAGTCGTACGGGTAGGTTGGAGCTGACAGCCTCTCCTCTTTGTATTTCATCACTTACACACAGCCATTTACACGGCCACCCCATCTGCCTGGAATACAGCCAGCTGGCAAGGAGAACCTTCCTGTTACAACCGAATTAGGTATTTCCAAGCACATACATCATCAGAAGAGCAGCTCAGCCTCTCTCTCAACTTTAGGTATTCCCTCTAGGTATAATTCCACAACATGGGGTCCATGACGGGATGTGTGTGTGTGTGTGGAGAGAGGCTCATTTGGTATAGAAGTCAATAGCCCAGTGCAAAGAGCCTCCTTGTAAATACAAATGAAAAATATTCACATTAATGACCTTGTGTTCTATAAGTTATTAAGAGGCAGGGAAACAGGAATTTTACAAAGGTTTTTTTTTCTTCTGTTAAAATGATTAAAACAAAAATTAAAAGTGACTGTTAAAGAAATAAGCTTCAAGGAAGAGAAAAATCCACTTACACGGAACACTTCGTTTTCTGATGTTGCGGGAGAACGAGGTGCATGTATGGGTAATGAGAAATTCGTGTGTGGACGCGTTGGGCAGAGAAACCAAGTCCTGGACCCTCCCTTGAGGAAGTTTCTGGTGGGGAGAAGTGATGTCCCAGGTCTGACACCTTCCAATTGTTGAGATTTACATCCTCCCTCCCTGTCCACATCCAGTCTTCAGATTCTTTAAAAACTTTGGATCAGTTAGTCATTTTTCCCTTCCTATTTTTTCCATTGTAACTTTGGACGCAAGCCGTCAAGCTTCCCAGGCACACGTTGCCATGGGAACCTCTGTTTGTTTAGGGTGGAGTCGTTCTTGGCAGGTTGGGGGAGGAGCAATTAATTCTAATAGGTATATAGTAAATTAAATACTTGGGTCTTTCCAACGTTTTCTCTGTATTTCTGCCCCTTTTTATAAATTCCCTCTCTTTCCAGATGACCCTTTAAGAGCAGAAAAGAAGCAGCTTCTAGAATCATGTCCAGGTTATGGCAGCTGAAGTCCAGTGGGACGTAGAGAAGGTCACCTTGACCATTTCTACTCTTTCAGTGTATCTTTCTTAATATTCTTGAGATGAGAAGCCATCCTTGGGGAAGACTTTGGAAAGAAAGATTCCCCAGGACCTTTTATTAACCCACTGAAATGCATAAGTTGTTCTTAGGAAAGAGGAGATCTTCTTTGATCTCCCCTTAATCTTCCATATTGAAGACCATACTTTATATGTAGGAAAAGTATTTTAGGTGATCTTTGGATTTTTATAGACAATTCTATGAAAAAGAAAGAAGGAACAGATTAAGTTTTGCCAGTGAGTCAGTCAAGGTTGGAGGAAAAGCAACAGATGCAGTGTTAGATGAGAAAAATACACTCCAAACACTTAAGAAGGAGAAAGAAAGCTCTGGGGGAACCTCAGTGAGTGTATCCGGTCCTGGCGGCAGAGCCCAAGAGCATCTATAGATGTTAAGAATGCAGCTATTCTCATTATTTGGCTGCAACTGTGAATTCAAGTCCTAATTATATGGTTATTCCAAGATCTCCCGAGTCAGAGTACCTGGCTCCAGTGTTAAAGACAGATGCTCATCCCAAAGTCTTTGTCTTTTATCCCAGTACGTCCCATGTTGAAAACAGAATTCATTTTCACTTCCTGCTCTCCACTGATAACTGCTCTGCAGCTGTGCAACAGCTGTTGAGTTCCACCCCACGAGTAGCAGCTTCTCAGGGGCTGGCAAACTGGTACACATCTGGATTGATGTTCAAATGACCTCAGAACCCCATAGAATAAATCAAAACATTGAAGTAATAAACTTGGCCGAGCTCGTTCTGATGTAACTCAATTGCTGAAAATTATTTTTTAATGGCCATTTTTTAGTGCGGTGATCTATCTCATCAAAGCCCAGTGAAATAGGAAACAGTCCTTCTAGCTGACATTTAAGGAGGGGTGGGAGGGGTGAGGGGCTGGGAGGTGGGGAGAGAAAGTGATTTGAACGTGTAAACTGGCCTCAGGACTCGTGAGTCTACTGACTGTCTTGTGGCCCAAAGAGTTTGACCACAAGATGTTTCCTGAGGCTTTGCAGTTGGGCATCCACTCAGGACAGGGAGCAGATGACTGGCTGAGGAGGTGGGCTGCTGTGCCTTCCAGGATGCTGTGGGGCACCATTTCCCTCCGGGAGTGGTTCTAAGGAAACCACGTGTTGGGCTGCCGGGCTCTTTCTTAACCGCTCGTTGCTGTTCTTATCATACGTTCCCCTTTTGGGGTGAAACACTCCATTAACTCTGGTTTGGCCTGGGCCTCTTTCCCATTTTGGTTCCTGTTAACTTGCAGCAGTAACAGGAGTAGATGGAAACCGTTTAGCTTTCTCTGCTCTGACCCTGCGTCTAGCTGCTGTGTGTGAAGTAGCTGTACGTGAGGGACAATTTGTGTTCCAGCACTGGTGTCCTGAACCCCAGGACCACTGTCTCCTGGACAGACATCATTGGAGTCTTTATAGCAACCCAGGACTATCGGGGTCTCTAAGTACAAGTTCCAAGAGATGAGGTGGACGTTATGATCCTTAATCTGTGAGAAGCAGCAAAAAGTCAAGATACATGATTTTTAATCCCAAACTCTGCTTGACCCTAAAGCTGTGACCTCGGGCACGTTTTTGTCATCTCTATGTATCTCCGTTTCTTAGTTGATAAAGTGGGACTCTTAAAGCCAAACTTGCCTGATGCACAGGCTTTTCCTGTTGATACAGAGTTAATATGTGTGAAAGTATTTCTCAGCCTGCAGATATAATTATTATTATATTATATTATATTATATTATATTATATTATATTATATTATAATTTCCAGCAGGTAATAAAGTTGATCAAGGAACTAAATGAACCATTCTGGATCCTAGAATAAGCAAGGAGCAGGTGCTCCGGGTGGAATTGGACAACTCTTTAGGTGCAATGGTCTTCTCTTGAGACTTTTTGACTTTTCGAGAATAGTAGGTCAATTTTGACCCTGCGCCTTGGGTAATGTCTCTTGAGTTCCATGGATGATGTTGGGAGTGAGGCGAGAGGGAGAGGAGGGGGAAGAAGCAATGTGGAGCCGTACTGAGACCCTGACCTGCCGCCTCTCACCAGCCTTTCCAAGCAGATGGTTGGTGCGATACTATCAACAACCGAGCCTACTGCCACTACGATGGGGGAGACTGCTGCTCTTCCACACTCTCCTCCAAGAAGGTAAGTGAGGGTGCCCAGGCGTGGGAGGAGGGGCAGCAGCTCCAGGAGTAAAGGCAGGTGCTTTGGCTCGCTCTCCGTGGTGTATCATAACTGGCTTTTCCTCAACAGTCGAGAAGAGGGAATTATAATGAACAAACCTTGGGGCTTCTGCAGTGACCGGATTGAGACCACTTGTTAGGAAACACTAGTTCTCTCACTGTCAGTCCTGTAACTGCTTCAGAAAAGCCACGCTTCTGCTATTCAAAGACACACTTGCTTATTGTCGCCCAGAAACATTTCTGTAGGTAGGGAATAATGGCTTCTACCCGCCAAGGGAGGCAGGATTCCCAAAGAAGTGACATCCAGTGATCATTAACCTTCATAATTAAAGGAACAGTCCTACAAAGTGTATTATAAGCATATTGCAGGTGTCTGTCGGGCTTCCACCGCAAGCTACTGGAGGGCTCCCCTGGACCATCTCCTGAGCAGTAGTCTTTTTCTTGATGCCTTTTATCCTTTTGCTCTGGGCGCTATTAAATTAGAAATTTATGCTCAAGCTAAGCCTATAAAATTGAACAGGCTGAAAACTTGGGAAAAATGTGGAAGGAAACACAAGTGCTCCAGAGATATTTGATGCTAGCTGGCCAATGTCAGGAATCAGAAATACGCAAGAGATTATCTTCCCTTCCTTGTATGTGTTTCCACCATAAAATCACACCTACATGATGATCTGTACACAGACCTGAATGCTATGGCTCCTAGTGGCTAATCGTTACCGATCGCTTGCTCTGTGCCAGGCACTTCTCTTCACTGACAGGAATTAACTTATTTAGCGCAGAGAGTTCAGGGGCTCATTGTATCACTGTTCAACTTGGCCCTCTTCTGCTCTAAAAAACCAGTAAATTCCAAACCATGAGAAACAGATGAGGAGCTTGGATTGCAGATCAGAAATCATGCCAACTAATTCCTGTTCTCACTTCAAGAAAGTAACTGGTCAAGGATCCCATTTCTACCCAGAAAAGCATAACTGCTTTGGAAGAAAGCAATCAATTCTCTCTCCATCTTACACCCAACAAATTAAGAATTTTGTCTTTAATGGACTACAATGCCTGTGGCCAGTATACAATCAGGATTGAAAAAGCATTACACCCTCTCTCCCCTGTTTACTCTTAAATCACATTTAATTCATATGTAAAAATATGCTGGGAAATTCCATCAAAGACCACTGCCCGTTCTCCAGTCCACCTGCCCAATCACCAAGCCCATCTCGTCAGTGTATGTGGACTGTTAAACAATATACTGATCTGTTGTGTTTTGTTTGATGATCCATGCCCAAAGGGTAGAATCTTTGCCACTTTTACATCATGTCTCCTGAGTGCCCAATTCTCTCTTAATGGGACAAAGAATATGTTTATCTGTTGGTAGCAGTGCAAGCAGGAAGGGAGCAACTTTTGCTGGACCATCCCTGGCCTGGAGGAGGGATAATGACATAGCAGAAAAGCAGTCCAGCCACAAACAATGGGTAAAGAGATGCATTGTTTCACCAAACCGAAGTAGATCCTGGGTCCAAGGGCAGAACCTCAAGCTTATGAAGATGGCAAAGATGAGCTAGGGTACAGGAGCCTTGATTTTCCAGATAGTAGTGTCTACCTCTCCTGACCTTCTCTGTACGAAGAACATACTCACATTCACCCTATCTTACCTACTTTACAGGAATTTTGTGACGATGATAACAGCAACAAAAACATGAACAGCGGTAGTTTTAAACACTAGTGGTAACATTAAGTGTAGTAGTAACCGGTGTTAGAGGTGGAAATGTGTGTTTTATACCCATCGTCTTATGTAGACCCCACTGACACCCTCTGGGGTGGTTGCTGTTGTCCTCCCACTTCACACAGAGAGAGAGTGAAGCAAGGACGGCTCACCTTGCCTAAGGAGACATGGTGTGTCAGTGAAAGCACCGAGTGTTAATTTCAGTTCTGTGCTATTAACATGCAGTCCCACACTTCCCCTGGGACCAAGTGAGAAAAGCAAAAGCGGGTAGAAAAGTGTGAAGCTTGGCGCAGAAATGGGTTATTTCAACTTCTCTTTGATTTCCCCTAGGTCATTCCGTTTGCTGCTGACTGTGATCTGGATGAATGCACCTGCCGAGACCCCAAGGCTGAAGAAAATCAGTAACTGTGGGATCGAGACCCTCCTTCCACTGCCCTGGCAGCAGTAAGAAAGAGAGGTTCCGCAAAAGGAAACAAAAGGGTGAATGAAGGAGAAAGGTCGTGGAAGGAAGGAAGGAAGAAGAACATGAAGGATCTTATAAGAAGGGCAAGAGGGTGATTATAGGTTCCAATCATTGCGTCCAATAACCCAAGTCAGGAAAAATCATCCGCAAAATTTTCTTCAAAGAGGCAGTTGATTTAAAGTGGGGAGAGAAATATGATGCTATACAAGGACCCTCCCCCATTTATAGTCTATCCAATTCCATCCTCAACTCTTGCCCTGCCCCTCACTCTGCACCCTGCCAACTATTCAGCCCCACCCACCTTGTAAGCCAACACCAAAATACTAGAAGAGAACTTGCCAGGGACACTCTGTTAATACCCACGTTGAATGGATTTCCATCTTTCAGGGCTCATCGAACCTAAACTGGCTCTCTCCCTTTCTTTGTGTAGTCTCCCTTAGTCATAATGAGGTTAGTTATTAATTCTTTAGAAGTATTTAAACATAATTATATAATTATATAAATATATTATATTTTTTGCTGTCTACTAAGCTAAAAATTAGCCATTGTTCCACATATGCTGCTGTGAAGTTCACATCCAGAATGAATGCCGAGGGTTTGAGGACCGAAAGACAAGCTCTTCGACCATCTTTCTATTCATAGAAATTGGCAGGTTGATAGGGAACTGGAGAAGAAAAGAGAGAGATTAGATGGAGGTTTTGATGATAACATGCCAGCTAATCATCTTTTTATGAGCTGGGAGCTGGGCCCAGGCTGAGGAAACGGGGGCTTGGAATGATAATACTAAGAGGCATGGGAAGGTGAGTGGGGGTATCTGTTGGTGCTAAGTCCAGGAAAACTAGCCTGTGATTCTTGAACATCCATCCAGAAAGAATATATTCACTTCTGGGAACTCTTAGTTGGAATTGGTGAGACCCTGGATTTTCTCCATTTCCCTATGTGCCTGTTCCAGGCGTGACTCCCAGCCAGCCCCTCCGTCAACAAGTTTGTATGAGGGCTCATCGTCCAATCACCAGGGTGACAGGAACTCACACATTCTTCATCGTTGGCCTGTGGTCTCATCCCTTCTAAGCCCCCAAGCCTGACCATCATTCACAGCCACATGAGCAATTGTTGATTTTCTGGGGAGAAAACTGTCATAGAAATGGCCTCGGGGAAAGGTGGGATGAGAAGAAAGAACAGGCAGGGATAGAGAAGCCAAGGGAGGCCACTGACAGGGCAGAAGTCGGGGTAAACCAGAGCCCGGGACTGGAGGATGACATGAGTCAAGGAGACTCAGCCTTATTCCAAGTCTCCAAAGAGGACCAAAGGGAATACTTGGAACCGTGCAGAATCAGAGGTAAATTCTATTCAAGTGTGTTGTGTTAAGTCTGTGTTCCAGAGAGTTCCCTTTGCACAGGCTATGAAAACACATGGAGCGAGGGTGACACTCTGTGGGGAGAGAGAAGAATTTCAACTATTTAGGGTCCATTTTGTCATCCTTTCTTGTTCAGTAGATGGGTTGTATGTGAAATGACCACGTTAACCTGCTTCTATTTACGTCCAGGGCTGACTACGTGGTCTGCTGCAGTCACTTTTTGGTAATGATTTATGGATTAGGCCTTGGAGAAAAAGAGTGCAGAGCTAGTTTCTTGTTCAACACCCCAGTTTATCATCTCAGGAAGGGCCTGGAGGCTTGTCTCCCTCCAAGACTCTTCTCCAATGGAACGGAAGGACAGGCAAACATTTAAGTGCAGCCTTGGCCTCTCTGGATCACCTGCTCTTTGGCTCTCAAACCACAGTTTTCTACTTTCCCCATCAACACTAAAGCGATGGCTGAGTACAAAGAAGAAATACTACCCCTCGCTATTTTGAGCCAGACTTATATGTAGGAAAGATCAATATTCTAGAATGGAATAAAAAGGGAAAGGCGATAAACACATAACCATCTGTGGGGATATGAAGTGGGGGTGCAAAGTCTCTGGGGAAAGGGAAGTGCAGAGTCTGCCCATCCCAAAATCCCAAACTGCTCTTTTTCTGTATTTCTAGCCACATCAGAATACTGTCCATTATTTTGGTTCACATTTAGTTTCTCTAAGGAGAACATTTATTTCTGGGATTTTGACAGGCTTCAGGATGGAAAGGGCAGTAGAAAAGCTCAGAGTCTCCATTTTAAAACTGTTGTAAAATCATTATCCAAGTTTCCTGAAGCGTGCCAGGCCCTGCGCAGGGGACGCCTGCCATGTCGGGAAGGCCACACGCCCCTGACGGGAACGTGGGGCCTGTGGCTCTTGCCAGCGTGAGTCTGGGCTCGGTCTCTCTGCCAGAGTAGCAGTGACAACATTTCTCTTCCATGCTTCATTTCAAAATATTTTCTCCTCTATTGGTGACATCTGCATTCCATCACTGCCCTGGGAAGGTGACAGGACAGTCCTGATGGTGTGTGGGAAGCTCCTCAGGCTGCAGGCTGCCCAGCCCGAGTCAGCCCCGGCCTTTCAGAGACAGCAGGTTCTTCCAGCCGTGATCCCTGGAGCCCAGTGTCATGAGCGCCTCAGGTCACTGATAAAGTCGAAGGTCTGAGACACCGTGGTCACAGATCGCAGTGGGTATCAGCTCACACTCGCTCCCCGCGGTGGCCTGCATTCTGCTGTCCCCACCATCCGTGGGGTCACAGAGGGCCTCTCCCAGAGGCTCTTCTGTCTGATTCTTTGTTCCAAAATCACTTCTCCGCTCCCTCTTTTTCCTTATAACTAGCGCTAGGGTATCCAGGTGGCCTAGACTCTGATGGTTAGCGCGACAGCCTCCAGCCAGAGGAGTGAGAGGACAGAACGAGGAGAACGGTCAGCTGGCAAACTTGTCCATGAAAGGAAAAGGCTCCTTCTCGATTCTCTCCTTTCCTTCCCTCCATTACAAGGCATTGGGTTTGGTGCTTCCTCTGCTCTGTGAGATCGCTACGAGTGCACGTGTCAGCACCCCGAGGGGATGGCTTGGTTGGGAACATAGGGAAAGGAGCTGATCTACTGTATTGTAATGTCAAACAGCTACAGTCGGTTATTTTGTAAGATTATGAGATGTTCATTAAAAAGTCAGCACACAAAATGGGCGGCATCTTTGGTGTCTTATTCTTTGTTGAAATCACTCCATCACTTCCAAATTGCTTTTCCTTTGCTCCTGCCAGGCCCAGACAGCCGCAATTGACTAATTGACTTATGATTCCTTTCAGTCATTTAAAAACTATTTATTAAGTAAAGGGTATGCATAAGGAAGATAAACAAGAATGTTCACGAGAAGAGCTGACACACAGAAGCAGACGACACAGCAGTCATGCCAAGTGCCTCATGCGTTGTAGAAATAAAATGCAAAAATCATTTACAGTTCAGAGGAAGTGGGCGTCACTCCTGGATGCCAAAGGGAGGTGGTGCTTGAAAGATGGTCAGTGAAGGATGCAACATAGCTTGACGGGCAGAAATGGGAATGGGAGAGAGGAGAGTCCAGGTAAAGAGAAGGACAGGATGGACACTATGGAGGTAGGAATAGGAAAGTATGGGGTGCTATCAAACATCTCCAGGGCATCCAACTTAGCCAGAAGGTAGAACTCAGCTAGCAGGTGCCGTGCGTTTGGCAAACACAGTCTCATTTCATCCTCATGAATAGATCTGCCACGTCCAGAGCCTCATTTCACAGACGTGGACACCAAGTGTCAGTGTGTAAAGAAAGTTCTTTATGTCATATGCCTGGAGCTAGATTCAAGCCTGGTTCTGTGAGACACCGAGTTGTAAGAAAGCAAAGAACAGTGATGGTCCGTAGGATGGGAAAAGGGAAAGGGTGTAAGTGGAGAGAAATGTCGACTACGAGGCATCTGTGTTATCTTTGTACCCCTCCACTGACAGAAAAGGGAAGCCCGGAGGAGTAAGCATTTGAAGAAGTAACATATACCTGCTTTTCGATAAAATCAGTTCAAAGGCCAAGTAGATAATGAGCTGGAAATTTCATATAAAGCAGTGTTTCACACACTGAAGGAGGCGTCCGCCACTGAGGGTAGCTTACCAAGGTCTCTGGCCACTCCAGGCACCACCTGGCCGCCTGAAGGGCGGGGTGGTTATCTCAGTACATCTGTGAGCCACGTGGGGAAGCCTGCAGAACAGATGGCTAGAGATGGGAGCTTGAAACTTGAGAGAGAGAGATGTGTGACCACATTAAACATTTGAGAGTGAAAATAATATGACCTGACAGTTTCTTTATGGTTTGCAAAATACCTTCATATGATTTACTGCTCCCCATGGGTTACACAGAACAACCTTTTTTCCTTTTTTCTTTTCATGTTACAGATGAAGCAACTGTGCATTAGAGAGGCCATTGAAAACTCTGTTACTGTAACTTAGTGCAGGCTGGGGTGGGACTCCAACCTTTCTGTCCCCCGGTGTGATGTGCTTTCCACCACGCGAAGTTCAGCCCACTAGACCCAGAGCGAACCCAGATCCAGCTGAAACGGGGAAGTCACGTGCCTTTTCCCTTGTTTATGCTTCAAGGTGCTCACTGGTCTCCTGGTGGCTGTCTTAGTAGCTGGTGGTAGGAAAACTGAGAGCAAACCTAGAGCATCCTTCCAGGGCCCTCTGCTCATGCCAGGCCCTGAGTATAAGCAGATGCCCCTGCACATGCCAGTTAGGCCAGCTGGACGGAGACAGCTGGCAAGGCTGCCTTGCCCGTAACAGCTTCCCTGGGGAGAGTCCTGGAGGAGAATTTGGAGCTCTGGCTTCCCCTGACTGACAAACTTAAATGACACGGTGAGTCACCCACCAACTGGGGGACTCACTACTCTTAGATTCAGACCAACCAGATGATGAGGGGCTCAGGATGGGGAGCTGGGCAAGAAGAAGGGTTTTCACTTATAAACAACCCCAGAGCATCTCTGGAGCTGGCTTTGGATTAGCTCTTTTTATGTCACCCCAGGGACCCACTGATTCTGGAACCCTAACATTTCAGTTTGCCCAGTGGTTGGCTCAGGAAGAAAAGGGGTGGTGATGAGAATCTTATATCTCAGATGTCCGTGCCCATAAAACCCTGTGCCTTGGGTATTTGGGTATGGAACAAAGACTCATTAAAGAATAATGGCTATTTTCAAGTGTGCGTGGTTTGCTGATGATCCCTTTTTGTTTGTTTATTTGTTTTTTCCCTTGATTTTGCCACTAGATCTGCAGGTTACACTGCCAAGTGCTGGTAAGAGCTGGTGTGACAACGGCAGAGTCCATTCTTAAGAGAATCCGCAAGTCTGATCTGGTTAACATTCCAAATCAGTGTAATAAAAACATTGCTAAGCCCTGAAAGATAGTCCAGAGCAACTACAATTTGCTAATGTTCTTCAAATCAAATTTCCTTCCCAGGATAATTTAATATAGACAAACTCCCTTTGCTTTGTCTTTGTCCACATAAAAGTCACTTATTCAAATGCAAAAGATAAATAAATAAGGAAAGTGTTGACTTTTTAATGACTACCAATCACGTTTCATCAATTTGCCTTTTCTCTCCCTCGTGACTGCTATCTGAAGGCAGCTGCCTTTGAAAAAATGTTTGTAGACAGAGAAGTCACATATTTGAGTCTCACAAAAGGCCATCAAAGTTCAACAATGTTCCCATACCACAATTCAATATGTGCATTTCAGAGTGCTTTCTGAATAGTGAAGCCAAGTTGTGTTAGGGCACAAATGACTTCCAAGGAATGATTTTGTAGGCAGTGAATCAATAACCTTCAGAATGACCTGGAGGAGAGTCCTAGGACTTCTTAAAATGTCCCGGGAAATATGTTTATTAACTCTGCTCTTGCCTCCTCTACTTTGCTCGGTGACCTGCTGCAGGGAGCAGGCAGGGATGACTGAGTCTAGATTTTGAAGGTCAACGTGTAGGATCTATTAGTGACTTGCAATCTGTGGTCAGCATCATGGTGCTCTGCAAGGAACACAGCCTTGAAGCCTGACAAATTTAAATGTGAATTCTGACTTCACCGCTAACTAGGTCTATTACCTAGTTACTTAACGGCTCCGAGCCTCAGTTTCCTAAATATCTACCTTTGCGGGGCTCTGCCCACCTGAGCAGTGTCAGGCAGGAGGAAGTTCAGAAGTGATCGGTGCAAGCGATGAGTATAGTCTGACCATGGGGAGGAGGGGGGAACTGCCTTTAAATAGCTTGCAAAGACCCTTAGAGGGTCTCTGAGACGTGTGCCATTGTTACTACATTCTCAGGACAGAGCAGATAGGAGACTCCCATGTGGGGTCTGCGTCTTGGGAGATGTTTTAGTCTGTTGATTCAGAGTGAAGCAAAATGGACTTGTAGGATAATGGTGGTAAAGTTTGCTACTGAGAAAAATAAAGTGGGCTAAGGAGAAATTTTTGGAGTTGGCCAAAATGTTGATAAGCTCCAGATATTTGGAATATATCTGGAAAGCTGTGCTAGCTATGTGGAATGCTGGTTACTTTATTCAAAGGATAATGGAATTACTGAATTCCGTTTGTAGAAGAGTACTGTTAAATGCAGCCTTCTATGAGGATGGAAATGTCCTGTGTCTACACTGTCCCGTGTAGTAGCCACTAGTCACATGCTTCTGTTGAGCACTTGAGGTGAGACCCGCAGGATGGAAGGACCACATGGTCAATTTTTAAAAATCCAATAATTTAAATGTCTTCAGACATTTGAAACGTATTTATCCGTGTGAAAAATGTCTTTCCTGTAGATTAAGTTCATTATGGGAATAAAACATGGCTTTAAGCCTTAACATTTTTTTTTAAAAACATTCAAAAAGAAAACACTAAACACCATAGTGGACAGCACATTTCTGGACCATCACAGAGACAAATCATTCACATGTGCTTTCGAAATATGCTTTAGGCACCATTTAAAAAAAAAGCATGACACATGTCATGGCAGAAGAAAGGGTGCAGCCCCTGTCACTTGGATATTTGGGTTATATTATTGTAGTGTAAGGAGACTAAACTTTAATAAGTCATCTATAAATTTATACATCCAGAAACTTCAAACCAGAAATAAAAAAAGGAAAGAAAAAGTCTCTAACTGACATGTAGTTTACATGAAACCTCTGCAGGGTTTTTTTTGTTTTGTTTTTTTTGATTCTGAAATATTTTATTTTTTTTTAACATTTTTTATTGTGTTATAGTCATTTTACAATGTTGTGTCAAATTCCAGTGTAGAGCACAATTTTCAGTTACACATGAACATACATATATTCATTGTCACATTTTTTTTTCACTACCACAAGATCTTGTATATATTTCCCTGTGCTATACAGTATAATCTTGTTTATCTATTCTGCATATGCCTGTCAGTATCTACAAATTTTAAAATCCCAGTCTGTCCCTTCCTATTCTCTGCAGTTTTTTTATCAGATGAGTTAACAGAGTTACCACTGGGACCTTAATTCTGAGAAATCAAACAGAGTCTGAGAACCAGTAAAACACTTTTCAAGAATGAGACATGAGAAGTATTCAGAGAGGAGGCACAGCAAGGCCCAAGGTGCACAGCGGCAGAGCCAGAATTTGGGCCCTTGGGGTCTGCCTTTAGCGTCTATGAAGTTCCTACTATGCTCCAAGGGAACACTCCCTCTCGGGGGAGACTGCATGCGTAAAGCACGGTCCTTAGCCTTGTGGATTCTCAGGCTTGAAAGGGTCTCTGAGAGACTGAATTATCCACATGATGTTCCCTTCCATGGGTTGTCCCTTCTCATTGCGAACCAGTCTAGCATTAAGGAACTCACTGTCTCCCAGACGGCACATTTTATATCTGGTCTGGTCTGACTTTAGTGAAGCAGAACAAAACAAACAAATAACCATCCAGCTGGTGCTACCTTTGTTTTGGCCACTGAATTCTTATTGAGCACCTGTTCTGCACCAGGCGCTGCTCGGGGTACAGCAGTGAACAGGGCAAAGTCTGTGTCCTCATGGAGCGTGGGGACACAGACAACGTACCCAGATAGGTACACCTGCCTGTCCGCAGGTGATGAGCGCTGCCAAGAACACTCAGCAGTGAGCGGGGCGAGGCGTGGCCGGGCAGGGGGTGCCAGTGTGTACAGGGAAGGTCCCTGAATGCTGCTTGGAG